TTCATGCCTTTTTTTTTTTTTTTTTTCGTTCATGCCTTTTCAATGAGACTACCGCCTTTCGGTTGGGGAGAAGGAAACGAAAAAGAAGAAAAAGTTAAGGGGTAATTTCAGTACAGTCACAAAAACAGTTTGACATTACACGCGTTGGGAATTCCCCCGATCACAACACACAGACCCCCATTGTAACCGTACCTGACCGGAAAGCTACCTTGTATACATTGCCCGAAGTGCAATTTGGCCGAAGCATACTTTACTATTTTCAAACTCTTTTTCGTGACTTCCGCATAGTTTCTCGAACAGTAAAAGAAGTCCTTCGGGACAGACATCACAGCTGTAAAAATTGGAATGATACAGAGAAAGAGAAGATTAATTCGCACGGCCCCTGCGCAAGGATGACACACATAAATCGAGAAATGGGCCAAATGACCCTTATTTGCGGGGGGCGGGGGGGGGGTCTTGGGGGGGGTGTGGACGATCTCGGACTTGGCGGCCTGGCTGTTCTCGATGATGGGAGCGATCTTCATGGGGGGGGGGGGGGGGGGGGGGGGGGGGGGGGGGGGGGGGGGGGGGGGGGGGGGGGCGGAGGTTGGAAAGAAAAAGAAAAAGAAAATTGTCTCTCGAACTGCTCCCTCCTGGTACGGGCAATATGCCGAAAGTGAGCACCGTATACCCTGAGGGGTGGGAGGTCGTTGAGCCTACTCTATATGAGAGTTGGAGCAAAATGTGAGAGAAGATCCGAATGAATCTCACGAGGGAAAGCGCAGCAAGTGCGAGTCGCTCTCGCCTATCTTCAAAATCTCTCGTCAGAAGAGTCGCTACATTTACGATCTCTTCTATCGGAAGAAAGCCATCTCAAAACAGTTGTACGAGTAGTTTTACCTTAGCCAAGCAAGGCTTTGACGATCACAATCTGATAGCCAATAGCCGAGTGGAAAAAGAACGGCTACGAGAATCTTTGCTGCCTACATTGCATACAACCAAGAACGGCTACAAGAACCTTTGCTGCCTACGACTGTGTTGTTGTAGGTGTGTCTGGTGCAGGATTCAAGATTCCCCTCCCTCCCTCCCTCCCTCGTTTCCTAACTCCCTCTTCCTTCCACCCCCCTTGTTTCCCCCCCACACAAATCTAAAGGCACATTACTACATTTGCTTCTTCAGCCTCTCTATTTCCAGTAGACTCACACGCTCAATCAAGGGCATACTCACACTGGCACTTTCGCAAACGTATCTTACCGCAATTATGGGCCATAGATGGATGAATCTGACTGCAATCACGTCCAGAAATCTTAGGGCGAGTTAGTCCAACGAGGGAGCAACACTTCGGAAGACGCAGATGATGGAAATGATGGATGGGAACCCACCTTCGCGGGACATGGATGTTTGCTTCATCAGCTTTATCTCATTTGTGATCTTCCAGCTCATCTGTCTTGTCATTCTTTTTTTTCTTTTTTTTTTTGTAAGCCTAATTCATTTAAGCCCAACCAATTCAATGACCTGTCGAATCTGGACAGGACGGCCTTTCAGGCCTTTTTTTTATTGTCATTATATGATTATACTTGCTATTGTAGTATTACGGGGAACCCCGTAGCAGCCACATCCGTGCTCAAGCCTCCAGCGAGGGAATATGCGGGAGCTGCACCCATCAGCAGGTGCGATACCTGCTACAGCAGGTGGGCTACACCGGCCAGGGGTCAGCCGGTAGCATCAAGACCGAGCATCTTCGATGGGTCAGTCACTGTGCGTCCTCTCTGGTCCCCTCCGCCTATGAAGAAGCATCAGAGTCTCTGCTCAATGCCACCTAGAGATGTACCCTCCCGGGAACCAACGGCCTATCTCTCGGTGGCGGGCGCCAAGCTTGCCCAGCCAGGAAGGTATGTGAGGCTCCAATCATGGGGGGATTGAAACCAAGACCTCCTGAATGCCGCTTGCGTGCCTTGCCAACCGAGCTTAGTCCGCTGGATGCGTCTTGTCATTCTTCTCAAAGCTTCTGTCAATATCTTCTCAAATGATTCAATCAATCTTCTGAAAGACTCTTTCAATGGGACCACTCTCCACATGTACAAAAGACAAAAAATATGCCAACGTATCTTTCCATGTTCTAGCGCAACATTCAGTCTCATTTTGCACATTGGGAGAGTAGTCGAGTCAGGTGAAGAAACTCCAATCTTCTCAAAGATTCTTTCGATCATGTCCGCTGGATTGCTCGCAGGTCAAGAACTCCATTGAGATATACAATCAGAAGCATGTCGAGGCTGAAAGACGCAAAGCGGAATATTTGGCAGAGAAGCGGAAGAAGGCAGAGGAGGAGGCCAGGTAACCTCCTGCTCTCTGTTCTCCACCCCCACCCCACCCGCCCCCTCCCCTGCAGTACGCAGCCCACACGCCCGCCCCCCAAGCATGTAACCGCAGTGCATTTGCTCTTGTGGTAAAAGCTTTTTGGGTAAAAGAAGTCTTAAATGTTTTCTCAACACGGTCGTTCTTTTTTTTTTTTTCGGGGGGGGGCGTCTTTTTTTTTTCACAAAGGGGTAGGTACTGATGGCGTAAGCCTTTCAAGAATTGCATTGAACCAACCTTGCCTCCATTTATTTTTTTTAAACACCCCCACCGGTGTTAGTTTTGCTGATAAGAGCAGACACCACTAACCTTGCCGCCATGCATGTTCTCTCCGTGTTGTACATTTTTGAATTTTCGAGTTTGTAAGAAAGAAAGAAAAAGAAAAAAGACGTTCTGAAAGCTGTCCTTGCTTGACTGAAAAAAAAAAAAAAAAAAAACCTAAGGAGTCCACAGACTCCATACTCGGGGCCTACAAGAGCGTGGCTTCACTCTTGTCGATGTCCACTGTCGTTGATGTCAACCATCCTCGACTATCATCACCATTGACTTCAGTCCCCCTTGACTTTGACCATTATTGACTTTGACCCTCGTTGAAAGGCAGAGGCAGAGGCTGACATCAACCATTATTGACTTCAGTCACCATTGATTTTGACCATTATCGACTTTGACCCTCGTTGACTTTGACCATTGTTGACTTTGACCCTCATTGAATTTGACCGTTGCTGACTTTGATTGTGCTGAAATGAAGGTTGAAGGCAGAGGCAGAGGCAAAAGCCCAGGTGGTGCGCGAGAAGAAAGTCAAGCTTCTTGCGACGATGATTGAGAACGGAACAGTTTCAGAAGAAGAACGCGAAAAACTGCTCGAGGATCTGGAGGAGAATAAGAGGTTGTTGCAAGAGGTCTCGAAGGACGCCGTCAAACTTGACGCTCTCCTGTACGATAGGTTGATGGAACAAGGCACCATCACAGAGGAGATGGTAGAGGAGATCGAGGCAGCGGAGAAAGCAAGGATCGAGACAGAGAGGAAGGGCAAGATCCTTCGCAGCATACTTGAAAGAAGTCTCATCAGAGAAAAAGATAAGAACAAACTGATGGCAGAGATCGAGGAGAACGAGGAAAACGCGGAGATCTTGAACGATGAGGCTGCAGTCAACGTGTTATTGTTTGACATGTTGCTGGAGCAGGAGTACATTACCCAAGAGACAGTGGCGGAAACGGAAAAACTGGTGGCGGAAGAGGAAGCGAAGGCAAAGGCGGAGAGAGAGCGTAAGGGCAGAATTCTTCTCAGTCTGCTCGAAAGAGGGGTTGCCCAAGAAAAGGACAAGAAGCGGATGCTCAAAAAGATAAAGAAGGACGAGGAACGCGCAAGTATTTTGAAAGATGTACCCGCTCTGAATGCTTTGTTGTTTGATATGATGTTGGAGAAGGGGTCCATCACACAAGAGATGGTGGCCGAGACAGAAGCCTTGTTCGAAGCAGCAGAGAAGGCGAAGGCCGAGAAAGAGCACAAGGGAAAACTCCTTCACAGTTTGCTGGAAAGAAATCTCGCCAAAGAAACGGATAAAGCTCAACTGCTCGCCGAGATTAAGGAGGACAAGAAACGCGCAAGTATCTTGAAAGACGAAACCGCTCTGAACGCGCTGTTGTTCGACATGCTGTTGGCGAAGAAGCTCATTACCCCGGCGATGGTCGGCGCAACTGAAGAAATGTGGGCAGCAGCGAAGGCGAAGGTCGAGTGGGAGCGTAAGAGCAAACTCCTTCGCAGCATGCTGGAAAGAAATGTCATCAAGGAAACAGACAGCGCTCCGCTGCTCGCACAGATCAAAGAGGACAAGCAACACGCAAATACCTTGACGGACGAAACCGCTCTGGACGCACTGTTGTTCGACATGCTGTCCGAGAAGCAGCTCATTACCCCAGCGACGATCGCCGCAACCGAAGAGTTCTGGGCCGCAGAGAAGGTAAAGGCGGAGAGAGAGCATAAGGGCAAACTCCTTCAAAGTATGCTCGAAAGAACTCTTGTCAAAGAGACCGATAAAGATCAACTGCTCGCAGAGATAAAGGAGGACAAGAAACACGCAAACATCTTGAAGGACGAAACCGCTCTGAATGCGCTGTTGTTCGACATGCTGTTGGAGAAGAAGCACATTACCCCGGAGATGGTCGCCGCAACCGAAGAATTGTTGGCGCCGCCGCCTGAACCGCCACAAGAACCTCCACCACCACCGCCCGGGTATATGACTTAAAGCCAAATAAATACGACTGACCGGCCGGGTATATGTGACTTAAAGCCAAGTAAATACGACTGAGCTCGTAATGTAATGAATGAGCGCGAGCGCAGGTATCGACAGACATGCAAGCCACAAATGAGCTTGGTGGGTGCGCCGAGGTGCAAGCCGATCGCAGTTTCACAGGGAAGGAGGAAGGCAGGCTCCTGGCACGTGAGGACTGTTTGGCAGGGGAAAACATTGGCGATATTATGCTGACGCGGCTGATTGCGGGCGGGTGAGACGCCGGCCGCAGCAGAATATGGCATACGATTCTTCTGTGTTGTACTGTCCTGAACGACAATCTCGTCCCTCGATGAATTGTCGTGCCTGCGTGCTCAGACTCTGTCATTAGTGAGATCTGTCTCATTTCGTTGCCCTCGCACTAAGTGCCTTTTCTTCTTTTTTTCTTTTCCCTTTTATGTACTATCTTCTGCTTTATGGCTGGTCTTCTATTTCTCTTATTCTTTTTTCCCCCCTCTTTTGAAAATCATTCGGATTCATTCCTATCTTTTCTTCGTTCGGTTCATCAAGTGCACAAATACTCTCGACCACCGAGTTTACAGCATTGCCATGATCCGCACACAACCCATTTCCCCCACGTCTCGTATCTCAGCGCATACTTGCAGTAGGCCTTTTTTGACTGTTCTCTGGATGTAATTGCGGTCAGATGCATCCAGCTCTCTACCCGTAATTGCACTCAGATACTCCTCAAAAACGTGCTAGCGTGTGCATACGCATGCCTTCACTAGTTCTTCTTCTCTGCAAAGAAAAGTATCTTACTGCAATTACGGCTGTTATTAGTATCAATTCTTTGAAACTTGTACTTGTTGAGAACTTCAAACAACTCTGAATTTTGGACCTTGAATGCACAACTACAGACTTGGTACAGACTTGGTACAAACTTGGTACTAACTTGGTACTAACTTGGTACCAAGTTGGCACTAACTTGGTACTAACTTGGTACCAAGTTGGTACTAACTTGGTACCAGGTTGGTACTAACTTGGTACTAAGTGTTGGATTGGGAACGGTGGGAAAAGCCATGAAACACACTGTAGTCGGACATCAGCGGAGCGTTTTTTATGTCCAGGGGCTCCCAGCGTCAAAAGAGAAAGAGGAGTTTGGACTCTGGAGTTCCCTGCTGTGCTGTGTGGGGAAGCCCCTTCCCCACACAGAGTGGAAAGAAAAAGAGGAAGTTAGGAGATTCCTGCTGCTTCAAGTTTTTTTTTTCAACAATTCCCATCTAGGGTAGGGTAAGAGGATAAAAAAAATGATTCTCCCATTTACTACTGAGTGACTGACTCAAGTTTGATCTCTGACGGAGAAGAGAAGAAGGAAGGCAATTTTTTTCTTCTTTTTTGACTTGCTTTCGAGTTCACAATTTGTTTTACACAGGGCGAGCGCAAACACGATCGACGACGCGGTGCCCTTCCAAAGCTGTTGTCTTCTGCAATGACATCAGCAGCCGCTTCCTTGCAATTTTTTCGCTGTCTCTGTGCTCCACCGTTTTTGAAAGAGGTTAAGTTAGGAAAACTAGGTGGGCAAGGTAGGATTAGAGTGAGGTCCAGGGGAGTTGTAGAGGGGCAAGAAACGTGCGGTGCAGAATGCTGCACTGACAGTCTCTCTGGGACATTGGTGCTTCCTTCCGCTCACAAATTTTACCATTCGCATTGCTGCTTGATGCGTATGACCTATCACCTGGCCTCCCTCTGGGAGGCACCATGCTTGCTTTATGGTCGGCAGGGCTAATCAGACTCCTGTTTGCCCGTATTTTCGAAGCCTGTCTAAGTTCTTCACTCCGATTCAGCAACCCTCTCTCTCTCTCTCTCTCTCTCTCTCTCTCTCTCTCTCTCTCTCTCTCTCTGTCTGTCTGTCTGTCTGTCTGTCTGTCTGTCTGTCTGTCTGTCTGTCTGTCTGTCTGTCTCTCTCTCTGTCTCTGTCTCCCTCTCTCTCTCTCTCTGTGCCTGTCTCTCTCTCTCTGTGTGCTTGTCTGTCTGTCTGTCTCTCTGCCTCTGTCTGTCTGTCTCTCGTTCTCTGTCTGTCTGTCTGTCTGTCTGTCTGTCTGTCTNTTTCTCTCTCTCTCTCTCTCTCTCTCTCTCTCTCTCTCTCTCTCTCTCTCTCTCTCTCTCTCTCTCCCCCCCCCCCCTCTCTCTCTCTGTGTCTGTGTCTCTCTGTGTATTGCCGTGGTGCAGTTTGGTCTTCTGAAGATTTTGAGACGTTTGCAACTTTGCATCCATCATCATTGATCAGAGCCCAGTTCATCTTGCTGATGAGAATCACGTCAGTCGAATGTCTTGTGTCCGCCATCTTGTTGAAGCATGAAGCGGTCGCTGTAGAAAATGCAAAAAGTATTTGGATTACAAATGAGGGGACCATGTTGCATCTTCTTCAAATCGAAATGGGTTGGGAATTGCAAGTTTAACGGAGTGTCAGTTTATGATATTCTATAGCCATTTAAAAAAAAAAAAAAAAAAAACATAAAAACATTATATACTATTATACTATATAGCCTTGGTGAAACACTCTTCTGTTTTCCTTGTTGACATGGAGCATCCATGAAAACAAATAGAATGATGCCCAACCCCCAACAAAGACCAATTGGCGTAGCTAAGTTGGTACACCCATGAACTGATGAAATACAGACCTAAGTTCGAACTCCGATGGAATCAGATGGAATCAGATAAATGAGAATAATTCTGACTTTATCAGCGGGCCCATAAACTCATTGGGTGTACCGACTGAGTTCGCAGGCCCGCTGGTAAAGTCACAGTTCATAGGCCGATCAGTTCAAACTTCAAAGTTCAAAATAAAACATTAAAAATAATAACATCGTAAGGTCGTCGCCCTTTTAAAAAAAACGAATGATGCCAAAAACTTGAAAAAAGAAATGTGGTACCAGCGGGCCCATGAACTCAGTCGGTGCACCCATGTAACTGTCCAACTACAGACCGGAGCTTGAATCCAGAGGCAAGGAGATGTGAACAGGAACAGAACATAAAATATTACAAAAATTAACAAAATAATGTTTTGAATTACCTTGGGCCCGTCAATGCGATGATGTGCTTTGAAAAAAGTAAAATAAAGAAATGTGTTTGTTAGACATGAGGAGGACACCAGAAGGGATCTTTTTTTTTTTTTTTTTTTTTTCCCAAATAAAATCAAGCAGCTCACACAGGTACCCAAAGAAGAAAACAGAAAAAAATAAAAATAAAATTGAATCGCATAATTCAGTATTCGCAGTTTTAAGTTTCAGAAATAGGCATTACAAGATTCGTTGCCGTTTTGCGGTCGACTGTGCTGGACTGCTGGGCCAATGTGCAAGGTTCATACTACCTTCATGCTATCTTCATGCTATCTTCATACTACTTCATACTACTACAAAGTTCATACTACTACAAAGTTCATACTACTTGATTCAGCTTCATTGCTCTTCTCATGCAGACAGTGACGAAAACCCACGACAGTCCACTTCCCCCTCATCTGATGAAAACCCTAAACCTTAGAGAAAGCCACAAACCAATCAACAACGATGACAACCGTGAACCTTAGAGAAAGTCACAAACCAACCAACCATAACTTGCAACAACGCCCTCCTTTCCTATTCCTCCTCCCATCATCTCTTTTGCCGCAAGAACCGCGGAGCAGATAAAAAATACAGTTGATGATGATGATGATGATGATGATGATGTTAAGAGGAAACAAACAAATGGAAGAGAGGAGAACAAAGATCACCTGCGACGATACAAATGAACAAATCAGAGATTCATTCCAAGTTTCCAGATTACAATATGGCATAGCTACACGGCAAACTGCTGTGGACTGGCAAAGCAATCTCCTCAAATCAACAAGACTATTGACTGGCCCCCCACACATACGTGTGGCATTGTGTGTGTGTGTGTGTGTGTGTGTGTGTGTGNGAGAGAGAGAGAGAGAGAGAGAGAGAGAGAGAGAGAGAGAGAGAGAGAGAGAGAGAGAGAGAGAGATTAGGTGTACTTGAGATCCATAAGACGGTAAACATCATGTCGCTTCTTCAGTGGCACATATGTCCTGCAAAGCACAGACAGATGGAGCAACAAGTGAGAAAAGAAGACTTGAAGACAGAAAAAAAAACATAGGACAATGAGATTCAATTGGTTTGCGAATTAGATTATGTGTAGATATGTCGTTCAGGACATATCTCCACTTTATCTAATTGGCAGGATGGTTTGCAAGCAGGGCGAGTGTTGAGGGGGTGTCAGCGGGTCACCTATTATGCCTGATTGCTATAAGGGGGAGTAAACCCCTTTAAAATCTAAAAATAGCATTATTAACTCAGGTCTTAAAACACTTAAGAAAGTGTCAAGGCCTTGAAGTTGAGGGCGCTATCTCCACAAGTGAGTTGGAGGGAGGGTGTTGAGGGGCATCACAATCTGCTTCGCATTCAAATTGTCAGGAGGAGAGCGGAAAGTGTTGAGCGGGAAAGGGAGGGGTGGAGGAGCGGGAAAGGGAGGCGGGAGGGGGGGGGCGGAGAACGAAGTGGAAACAGCGCATAACATCAGCTGCATGATGCTTCTCATATGTTAAGAGGTAAGAAATGAAGTACTGAAGAGGATCACGGTGATCATCACACAATGCAGTACAAGCTTTTATTACAAATTTATATACACAAGAGGAGAAAAAAAAAAGAAAAAAAAAAGACATCGTGAACATCAGGAGGTAGCAACCAAGCCATAACTCCACTTTCCTACACTCGTTCACATGAATCAGCTACGTACTTGTGTATTCAAACAGGGGCGCAACGTTGCGGTGCATGCGGCGCATGCGGTGGCATCAGGGAGTGAAACTGCTTCGGGGCATGCATCGAAATTGAAACGATGCACAGAAGATGACATGTGTATGTCGCGAAAGGGTCCCACCGGAAAGGGAAAGGAAAAAACTCCAAACGAATCTAGACGTCCGAAAAACGACAAAATCGAGCCTGGACGAATTTAAGCATCCCGTCTCACTGCATGTGTGTTTTTTTCCTCTTTAGGACTTCTTCACGTGCGTGGACAGGACTGCAGTCACGTTCGTTGTGGACACGTACAGATTCGAGCTCTGCAGTACTGTGCCCGGAGTCCTGCATTCGTTCGAGAGTGTTTTTCAAACTTTTTCTTTCTTTAGGACCTTTTCACATACATGGATGGAACTGCAGCCACATTCATAAAGATGAAGGCCACATAAAATAAAAAGCAGACTCCACGAACTACGAGAGACACTACGGCAAAATGACAAAAAGACAAGTAAAAAATCCACGAACTGCGCGGTCTGCCACCGAGTAAACGACAAAACAAAAATAAATGCACGAGTAAAATCACCAATAGCGCCACCACTTCAGGGCATACTTCCACCACAACCTTTTTCAACTTGTCTATCGATGCTATGTTTGTGCTATGCTAGCATGAACCTGGTCGTTGTTTTTGTCAGGTTCATGCATTCTAGCCACTCCCATAGCACTACCGTCTTCACCCGAATAGAAGGCCGGGTCATTATCGCTGCATCTGGACTGAAAGTTGCGCCAAATACAGTTATAATGACCGGGCATTCTATTCAGGTGAAGACGGTAGTTGTGCCGGCTCCTCAGGGACTGTGTTCACAAGAAAAGGTCTGTGTGTACCATCCGGATATACGTGAAGTCCCAAGGGACCTTCAGTTAGGTTCAGGCTTCAATTGGTGCTATGTTTGTGCTATGCTAGCATGAACCTGGTCGTTGTTGTGGTCAGGTTCATGCATTCTAAGCACTCCCATAGCACTACTTGTGCCGACTCCTTAGACTGTGTTCACAAGAAAAGGTCTGTGTGTACCATCCGAATTTACGTGAAGTCCCGTTGGGCAAGATATGCTTTGCTGAATCCATGCATGGATCGCAACTTTTGCAGTCATGAAATCTGCTTTAGGGCCGGCATTGCCATACCCGTGAACGCCAGTTCTGCAGACAGATCTGCGAAAGTTCGACGTACCTTCTCAGTGGTATCTCTGTGAAATCCAGCTCTGCAAACACCGTGTCCTCCTCATGCTCTGTGGTGGCCAGTACCTCTCCAAACTGGGGCAGCAAAAAAGACACAAAGACGAGAGAGAGAGAGAGAGANATCAAAAGTCAAAAAGGTGTGCTAGCCTGCTGTCAATTGCTCCAAGAGTCTTAAGCTATAGGCTATTGATGTCCTAACCGCCGAGCTATAGCATAAGTACCTCTCCAAACTGGGGCAGCAAAAAATACACAAAGACGAGAGAGAGAGAGAGAGAGAGAGAGAGAGAGAGAGAGAGAGAGAGAGAGAGAGAGAGAGAGAGAGAGAGAGAGAGAAGATGATGTCAGGTTGTCTGTTTAGCAGAGTGTCGATAAGCTCACGGAAATTTCAAATTTGCCGACATGCAGCACAATCCGGTTCTTTGCCAGGAAAATGAAGGGGACCGCAATCTGTGGTGTTTCTTTTTCTTTTTCTGTATTTCATTTCTTCGTATTTAAAAAAGTGGCAATCCCCCACTGGCCTGGTGTTATTGAAACTTTTACTCAGTCTGTACCATTGCTTTGCACATAAGCACCAAAAAAAGCATTTGAAGTTTTTTTGAACCCTTTTATCGACAGATCGAAATGGCTCCACTTGTGTACCATTCATGGACCAGATGCATGAATGGTACACAACTTGTGTACCATGTCCATCTGTCAATCAAGAGTTCAAATCCTATTTTTAAATAAGAAAATGCTGACATCTTCATCCGAACAGAACACCCGGTCATTCTCGCTGCATCCGGTCTGAAAGCTGCGCAAAATACAGGTATGATGACCGGGCGTTCTATTCGGGTGAAGACGGTGGGCGCTGACTCTTTCACTGACAGATATAGGTTTGACGGTGTCGGGTTAGGACTTCAGGGTTTTGGCTTTGCGGTTCCGGCTTTGCGGTTCCGGGTTTAGGGTTTAGGGGAGGCAACATCGTCTTGCGAGCCTGTAAATCTTCAAAGATGGCATCTGGCAAATTCTGTACCAGAATTCAGCACAGGATCAAGGTTACGTCCAGGTACGGACTGCGGACTCAAAGAATATCGACAGGTCATTGCTGACAGGTACACCAATATACAAAATTACAAATTCGTTGTAGAGGAGCGCCTCGTCCAGCCGATCAAGGCAGGTCGTCATCATGATTACACAGTTTTTTTTTTTTTTTTTTTTTTTTTTTTTTTTAAGATGATTACACAGTTTCAACTCAGCCACAGAAGGATTGATGGGCCAAGTTGGGGCCAACAAAATTTCCTCTGCAGGGGCTAAGACCCACTACAGACGTTTTAATCGTTGTGTGATGAGTTTTTTTTGTTAAAAAAAAAATCAAAAAGCAACGAAAACCATTTTCTCTGTCATTTTCGGATATTAACTTCCTCCAAAAGTTTGAGAAAAAAGAAAATGTTCTGTGATGCGCTGGTGTGAAACCCGCTGCGGGTTTCACGGCTGTGTGCTTACCGTGCCCAGCAAACCTTTTTCCGAATGAAGTCTGGCCTTCGCCAGCTATGCATGTGGCCTGTTTTGTGGCGATCGGTCATCCTGTATGTTCTGCGAAAAGTGGCCACATGCATAGCTGACCTGTGCACCGCGGCCACAGACCTTCCGTTATCCACGGACATACAACTAAAAAAAAAACAAAAAAAAAGAAAGAAAAAAAACTGTCAGAGGCACGAATGATGCATGGAAATTGTGACGGACGGACGGGCGGCCCTTTACTTCCATTTTTTGTTTTCGAAAAGGCTTTTTGTGGAGTTGCAATATCCCCCCCCCCCACCCCTTGTACCGTCCGTAAAAAATTTGCAACTTCATAGACGTCCAAAAATAAGGAAAAAAAAAAGCATAAATCAAAGTCTCCACAGATGTCATCGGAGGAGACGCCGAGGTTAGAGGCCATTCAAATGAAAATCACCGTTGCCATTTAGATTGCCCTGCGTCAACGGACAGCGTGTGTCACCGACGACCACACACGATTCAATGAAAACAGACCTGCTACCAATTAAAACGTCGGCAGTGGGACTTAGCGCCAGGCCTGGAACTTTGGACCTTTTCGCATTCAGCACCGACGATAAGTCACCGGAAAAATAAAAAATAAAAAAAAATGAAAAGAAAAATAAAGACATGCAGGAATCTCCAATAGAAAAAAAGCATTATGATGCCATTAATACCCCCATTATCCCATTTATTTGTAATTAAAAAAAATCATAAAAATACCTTTTTCAATTTTTCAGTGTCACGCCGTTGAGTTACCTCCACTCGACGGTGCATGTGGGACAAAATCCCTGGTCCTTTTGCACGGCCGGGCCACCCGGGAAAACAAGGTGATCCAGGCACCCCGGCTGGTAGCCTCGGTTACTATAAAAGTAATATAAATGAAATGCAGGGTGACACTAATCACACTCCAGCAGTGTGAGGAAGGAGGAAGAGATTAAAAAAAATAAAAAAAAGAAAGACCACGTACGGAGACAGCAACTGGCCTAGCTCAGTTGGTACACCACTGAACTGTTAAAAACTTAAAATACAGACCGGAGTCTGAAATCCACTCGAAGGCCGTGGAAGCAGATGAGTAAAATATTGTCATTCTGAATTTACCTTAGGGCCGGCCGGCCATCAACCTTACCAAAAAAAAGAAAAAAAAAAGAAAAAAAAAAGAAAAAAAAAAACAGACAATTTGTTGAGCGACACACTCACCTGGCTTATGACCAAAGAAAATGGTCGACGAGATTCACAATGGGGAACAGGAGGGCTGTGGGGGATGAGAAAAAGTGCGAAGAACACCTTTGACAGATGAATGGGGAGGTGGAGGCAGCAGCGACAGCAATGGCACTCCAGCAGTGGGAGGAGGAGGTAGAGAGAAAGACAAGGACAAAGACGGTGCTGAACGGGAAAAGGTCCAGACTCCAAAGTAGCAGAGTAGCAACGCACCGGGCCTATGACCGAAGAATGCCCCCAACAAACATAGCTTCCATTGGGATCCCGTGCAGGGGAACACGTAACCACGAAGACCTGCATACAGACGTCCAGACAGACAAGCCGGAAAAAAAAAAAAGATGAGTTAGAACTTAGACACGACAAGCTAACAAGTACGACATGCTCAGTTGGTAGAAGTACTCGGTAGACATACAAACCTGTCTCTTATACACATCTAGATGTGTATAAGAGACAGGTGCAGGGGAACACGTAACCACGAAGACCTGCATACAGACGTCCAGACAGACAAGCCGGAAAAAAAAAAAAGATGAGTTAGAACTTAGACACGACAAGCTAACAAGTACGACATGCTCAGTTGGTAGAAGTACTCGGTAGACATACAAACTGCTGAAACACAAACGTGAGTTCGAATCCAGACGGAACTGCTGAATCAATTTCCAAATTACCTGGGGTTGGTCAGCTCCACGATGATCGCAAGGCCGTTGCCTTTTTTAAAATGAAAAAAACTTCAAAAAAAAAAAAAAAGCGGAAAAAAAAAGTTCCATAGTACGGCATGAAAGACAAGTAGGCAAATCAGATGGGAAACATGAGAGAGGAGTGAGAGGAGTGAGGCCCTCATTGATGCTCACAAGGTCTTCCCACAATGAAGACAGCCCCCCCCCCCCCCCCCCCCCCCACCACCACCCCCAATCCCAAATGCGTTGCTCGTCCTCCTTTCAAACTTTCAGCTGGGAATGTTGTTTCCCACCTCTGCACCCCTTACCCCCTCCTCTCAGGCATAGACGCAGCAGACCACAGCTGGTTATTTTTTTTAGTGTGGAAAATAGCGAGTGGAACAGACAAGCTCGAAGATGCAAGGGCCTAAAACTTGCAAAAAAAGAAAGAGGCGGAAAAAAAAGGAGGAGGAGGGAACAGGAGTGTTGGGATTCAGGCCTCGGCAGGCCTCCACTGGGGGCCGCCCAGAGAATTCAGGCCCGGCCCGGGCCTTTGTGAAGGCTTATGCAGAAAGGGGTCCACCAGCGCTGCCGTTTTCCCCCCGAACATAACGCACCCTAACAATGAATGTATAGAAGCTATGTCGCTGGCCCGATACAGTCAAAATGAAGGGGCGTTGTGTTCGGGGGAAGACGACAAGTGAAAGCTGGCATGAGACAGTTGGCAGAAAGGCTGGGCGCAGCCTCTCCAACTTAACTGGTACGCCCAGAGTCCCAGCTACCTTCTTCCCCCGAATACAACGTACGGTCATCATAGCTGTATCTAGACTGCAAGATGCCTCAAATACAGCTATAATGACCGTACGTTGTATTCGGGGAAAGAAGGTAGCTGGGACTGCGCTCTTTCCCGGTTAGTTAGTGGGAGACGCTGAGGCGCTGAGGCCGTGGAGGGTCACACTCGAGAAGGCCCTCCGATGGGGAAGAGCCTGGTCCCAGCTAGGCAGTTATGGGACTCATGGCCTTCAGGAAACAACAAAGGAAGGAGGATGCAGCATTCCACACATTCGGAGGCACTGGCAGCTAATGCTAGCGCTGATATAAGCGCAAGCGGCAAGGCCATCGCTCATTGATGAAGAAGGGGAGGAGCAGCCACGGTGTAGCTCTCAGCGGATGCCATAGCTGCACTGAGGTTGGAGAAGGGTGGCGCTCGGATGGGGTGATCAGGATAGAAGGAGAGCAGTGGGAACAGGCGAACTTACCTGGCGATGGTCGAACTTCGTCAAAGAGCAACACTTGTGGTCGTCGGACTCTGCAGCCTTGTTAGGCAAGAGGAGACTAGACAGAGAGAGGAGAGAGCAAGAGAGTGAGAGAGTGAGAGAGAGAGAGAGACAGAGGTAGGCTGTCTATAGGGAGAGAGAGAGTAGGAGAGTGGTATAGCAGCAAGTCCCATCATAGTAGAGCTTCTCATTGTCATTGTATTGATGACTACCGGTAGAGGCAATAAGTTGGGCTTTCTTTTTTGTAAAGACACTTGAGTGCCGAGTGTTTTCGTCGTTTAGTGTGCTCTCGGCCTTGTATGGCCCTCGCCACACCACTCTCAAAATGTGAAAAAGACAAAATTGAGGCGGGTGCATCTGGTCATGATGTAGCAGGAAGTTCGTTCTCATTTTGCACATTTCGAGAGTGGTGTGGGCATGCCCTACATATCTGCTTTCAACTCTGCACATACTTGCTGATTCTGCATTGAACTTTGATGTCTTTTGCTGCTTGGAAAATGTCTGTGCCTCTGTTCTCGTTGATCGTTTCCTTGCAAGAGACTTGCCTTCACTACCAGAGTGCCTTTTTCTTTTTTTTCTTTTTTTTTTTGCCTACCAGAGTGCTTGCTTTCGTCACAAAGGTGGGCTTCGTCAAAATCTCATAGGAACAAATAGTGCAATCAAGACATCCAGACAGGCATGCAGGCTGTCTGGGTAACACCGTGAGGATGCCTTGTGAATTTCAAATTTGAATTTTCGCAATTTAGTGGATCTAATTTTTGCATAATCATGGCAAAATTTCTAGGCTACCAGAGTGGCCAGGGACCACTTGCCCGGCCGGGCCCATTAAAAAAAAACTTTTTATTTTATTTTATTTGAATCAATTGATATTAATTGGTAACGCATTTCGATGTGACCCTGAGGCAAAACAGGTTGTTCAGATTATTTTTCTGCACAACAAAGTGCTTTTTTGGGGGACTTTATTGGATGGCCCCCCTTTTTGCAGCACCCCCCCCCTTTTTGCAGGGACCTTCCGTGGCTCTTGCCTGGACAACCAAGGTGATCTGGGCAACCCGGTTGCTGGCCTAGCAAAATGTCGATTTAAAAAAAAAAAAAATCTCCAAAATAAATCCAAGCTCTAGTCCAGATGGTACTGGGGTCTTCCTCTAACACAACAACGTTTTATTTGTCATCGATCGTACACTTCTGCCGTCATATCCGACACAACAATGTTTTTCATCTTTTTTTTTTATCATGGATCGTATACTTTTGCATCCTTGACAACACGACAGTTCGAATCATATTCCTCTGCACATTTGCCATCATCGATAAGACAGAGGAGACCTGCTCCCAGTTCCCACCTTTCCTTACATTTTCAGAAGAAAGCCACAATGTCAAATTTCAAGGGTGTCCAAAAATTAAAATTAAAATTAAAATTCAAGGGTGCAAAATTGCAAATCCTTATTCCCCCCTCACAAGGAGACTCACTGACTGACCTGATTATCTGCTGCTCTGATGAGTCAAGAAGGAAGGATTGCCAAGTGGCGCGCGCCCATTTCGAATACGCATCGCAAGCGTGGATAGACCAACCCACAAAAAAAAAGCCGCGAGTCAGCAACATATATATACATATCACACAAGTGTACTTTATTACTTCTCAATTGCGCCTGTCAAGAGTTTACTCCAAATCCCTACCTTTTCCCTTCTGATTAGCATTGCCACCTTCCTCACTCCTCTCTCCCCCCTACGATCTGTCCACAATTCCATCTTCTCCCCCCTTTACCTTCCCCCCTTCCCCCTCCCTCCTCTCCCTTTGCCCCCCTTTCCCCTTTCCCCCTTCCTCTCTTTCCCCCTTTCATACCTCCTCTCCTCCTCTTTGATGACTCCCCTCTCTCTTTCCCCCCTTTTCCCTCGCCCTCTTTAACCCCTTCTCTCCTCTCCCTTTCACCCCCCAACTCCCCACGACTCTCCTCCCCCTTACCTCCTCTCCTCTGCTTTCATCTCTCCACTCTCCCCACCTCCTCCCCTCTCCCTTTCGGCCTCTTCCTCCCCTCCTCTCTTACCCCTTTCATACCTCCTCTCCTCCCCTTCCATCCCTCCACTCTTGACACCTCCTCCCCTCTCCTCCCTCTTTTCCCTCTCCCTCTTTACCCCCTTCTCCCCTCTCCACTTCAACCCCCCCACTCCCCCCCCTCTCCTCTGCTTTCATCCCTCCACTCTCCCCACCTCCTCCCCTCTACCCTTCTCCCTCTTCCCCCTTCCCCCCCTCCCCCCCTTCCCACCATCTCCTCTAACCCAAGTTCTACACTGCTATGGGTGTAATCTGAGAAATACCAGCAATCGGTCATCAGATTTTGCCGAGAAAAGTGAAAAGTCATAACCGAGGGAGGGCAAAGGTAGCGAGTGTCTTGGGCGAAAGCAATCACCATTTGGCATTTACCGAGCCCATGTGACTGAATGCTACAAACATGTAACTGTCAGTAAGCAGATCATGAGTTCAAAATTCAAATCCAGATGTAAAATGGATACCATACTGCTACAAGCAACAGCTAGCTACACCCTTCTCCTACAAAACAAAAAAGTTGAAAAAACAAAACAAAGAAACAACTTGGAAAAAGCAGTCACCATTTTCCAGTTCACCTGCCATCTCCCCTAGTTTCTGTCCCTTCGGAACCGGCCCGATGCAGGCCCCCCTAATGCACCAACCCCTACCCCTTTTCCTCTAAAAAAAAAAACAAAAAACAAAGAAGCTACTTGGAAAAAGCCAATGTAGAGTTGGGTGCCTCACCTTGCCCTCTGTAGAAGTTCCCAGTGTAGAGGTCCTGTTGTCATGTTGAATGCGCCCGGATAACAGATTAACCTTGCACCTGCAAGAACACGATCGCGCAGTCAAGCCTCAGGGAAAGAAAAAAAAAAAGGAGAGAGAGAGAGAGCTGAGAATCAAAGGCCTGGGCCGCCTGGCCAAAACGGTCACCCAGCTTAAGGATCAAGGGCCTGGACAAAATGCTCAGCTTAGAATCAAGGGGTGCTGGCGAAAAAGGCCAGCTTAGGATCAAAGGGACGTGTCCAAAACGGGGGTAGCTTAGGACCAAGGGGACGTGACCGAAAAAATGGCCAAGCTAAGAATCAAGGCCCTGGCCAAAATGAACACCCAGCTTAGAATCAAGGGGCCTGGACAAAATGCTCAGCTTAGGATGAAGGGGGTCCGGCGAAAAAGGCCACCTAGGACCAAGGGGATGTGGCCAAAATGGCCAAGCTAAGAATCAAGGCCCTGAACAAAATGGTCACCCAGAAGGGGCCTGGCCAAAATGGTCACCCGGGAGGAGGAGGAGGAGGAGGAGGAGGAGGAGGAGGAGGAGGAGGAGGGGAGATTGGCAACGAGAGGAGGAGGAGAGATTGGCGACGAGAAGGAGGAGGAGAGATTGCCGAGGAGGGGGAGGGAGAGGAAGAGGAGAAGGAGAGATTGGCGAGGAGGACAAGGAGGACGAGGAGGACGAGGAGGACGAGGAGGACGAGGACGAGGAGGAGGAGGAGGAGGAGGAGGAGGAGGAGGAGGAGGAGGAGGGGAAGGAGAGATTGGCAAGGAGGAGGGGAAGTATTCTTCTCTCGAGAAATGGGTCCGCAAAGAGGAGGGGAAGATTCTTCTCTCGAGAAATGGGTCGATTCTTTGGATGTTAATTGAATTCCCTTCCGTGCAGTTCTTTCTCTTCCTCTATCTATCCCTGTGATCTCAATTGAGACAATACAGTGTGATGCTGTGCGACACTCCCTTGTTGCAACCTCACGATTATCATTACTGAAAACCGAAAAGTCGTAGGTTCAAATCCACCCCAAGTCCATGAGGCTAACAGATAACCCCTGTTTAGGAAAAACAGAGGGGAACAAAAAAAAAATAGAGCCAAATCTAATTCACAAATCCATTCTTCACTGTCAGGTTCTCATCCACCACTCAAGATTTGCACGCTTCTTTACACTCACTCCTTCCCTCCCCTCCCCTCCCCTCCCCAACACCACCCCATGACCCTTTCGGTTTCTTATAAATGGCATCATGGCAAGTGGTCTGAGAATTAGGGTCTCTGTTAACCTGCTCTCCCACCATTCCCCCAGAAAGACTTTTCATTAAAGGAGCGGAAGAAAAAGAACGAAGGAAAACAGACGCACTCACCCCGCGCTGCATAAAGCATTGCCATCTCAGGGAACCGGATGTCGAAGCAAATGCCCACACCGATACGGCCAAACTCTGCGCAGATCCATGAGCAACAGGACACAAAGTTTACCGGCAACTTCAAGAATGTCATCAGAAAAGGGAACGAGGAACAGCAAGGAGCATCGGGGAGCAAGGGTGCAATCACAACAAACCCCCTTGCAAGGGGGCAATCACAATAACCCGCGCATGCAAGGGTGCAATCACAATAACCTCCCCTGCCTGAAGGCAAGGGTGCGATCACAATAACCCCCTTGCAAATTGCAAGCGTGCGATCACAATTACCCCTTCGTCCGCCACCCAGCCCTTTGCAATCACAGTAAACCCCCTCGCACCTGAGAGCAAGGGATGCAATCACAATGACCCCCTCCCCCGCCACCCAACCCTTGCAGTTCATCCATAGAGAGACGTAATCAACTAAAGAGAACAGCGGAGCGTTAAAAGCATTCAAAAAGTATGCAGCCCATGTGGCCGAACGGCACACACATGTAACAATTCATGAACAGGGCGTGATTTTAAATCCAGCTGCAATCATATCAATACAACGACGTTGGGGTCTACCCGCTAGAAAGTGAAAAGGATGATGACGAGATGGAAATCAGGCAAGAGGGGGATGGTCGAGGGGGGTGAGTAGGGGGAGAAGGGGGGTAACGAGAGATGGCAGCAGCAACAGAAAAATAAAGGCTGTCAGTGACTTGTACTTCAGGACGTCACTCAAGACTAGAATGATACAGATGTAATGACCTGCAAAATCACAGACTGAGAACTGTGCTGATTTCTGAGTTTTTTCCGCTGGAATGTATGCCTTTCTGAGATTCCCACGTTCTGCTGAGTTTTCTAAGTCTGTGTGTGAGTGTGTGCTTGCTGGTCCGTGTGCCTGTCTGAGTGCACGTCTGCCTGAGTGCGTGTGTGGCCTGACAGGGCACTTCTGCGTTGCGAGGCCCGGGGGGGCGGTACTTACCTGTGGCCACGACTTGGAGGGTTGCAGCGGGGAAAACGCTCAAGTAGTGGGGAGTAGGCCCGTGACACTTAGGGCAGCGGGGAAAAACACGTAGCAGGTAGACCAGTTCCACTCAAGTAGCGGTATATGTGTCCGGAACCGCAGGCCGACCAGAAGAAGACAAAAAGTTTGCATTTTTTGAGGCCCAGTAGTGGTAGGCCTAGTGCTGGGCGGGTACCAGTCCAAGTAGCCTGAGTCTAGGGCCCGTGCGGACGATATGAGAGCCTGCAATAATGTTTCCCTCGGAGGTACCAGTTGCTTGGTGGCCGTGCAGGCTGGAAGTCACCAGGCCGAGCCATTACGCTGGTTGGCCGCTATATCTCCTGGAGGCGCGAGTAGCTCCTCCTCATTTGCGGTATGCAAGCTTGGGCGTCATGCTGCTTGAGCAGGCGCTAGTTCTCAGAGCACTGCTGGGGAGGAAGGAGGAGGAGAGCTGGGCACTCTGCCTGGCTATGGCGACCAGCCCAGCTTGAGGAGGAGGAAGAAGGGGGGCGAAGGAGGAGAGTTTGCGAGGTATTTACCTGGCTATGGTGGATGCCATCTTCATCACCTTGTTAGGCAGGGTTGGGGTAGCGCTGCAGCAAGAAGGCTTCAAGGCAGAGTCAGGCATGGCGGCCTGAAGAGCACCGGCCATAGCTGCCTTGCGTTGTCTTTTGCACATCAGGGCAGGGCCCTTAGTAGTCCGCCATAGCCAAGCCCTGTGAGACGTAGGAGAAGAGGGAGGTCATGGCTATGGTGGACCTATTGTTGTGCTGGCAGTAAGAGGGAACGTCAGATATTTTCAACCACTCGTTATTATTATTATTATTTGAAGAAGAATACGATTGGAGGAGACGAGGCGGAGGATGAGGAGAGTGAAGAGAGAAGGGGGATTTGTCATTGGTCTTGCTGGTGTACATCTTCTTCTTCTTTCTTTCTTCTTTTTTCTTTCTTCTTCTTCTTTCTTCTTTGTTGGTCTCTATCTCTTTGCAAGTGCTTTCATTTCTTTTGCAATTGGGTGGCATTGTCTTTCCTTGTGAATTTGCACTTCGGAAATAGCCAGGATCGTAACACAGAGACAATCCACATGGCCGTCTCCCCCCCACCGCCMCCCCCCCCCCAAAAAAAAAGAACGCACACTCATTTCGGCTGCATTTGGGGCAATTTCCCGTCTACAGCAGTAATGACTGTGTGTTCTTTTACCAACGAGCCTACCTCAATTGGTACACACCCACAAACTGTTGAAATACAGACCCAAGGTCGAATCGATCCACAATCAGATGACCAGAAAAAGAAGTACTTCTGAATTACCTGGGGCCCGGTCCTTCAACGACGATATCTACGCCCCTTTTAAAGAGAGACTGTGTGTCCCATTCAGGGGCAGATGGTAGAATGACACAGAGACGATCCATGCGGACAATGCGTTAACGACGGCAAACGGTGGCAAACGACAGCAAACGACGGCAAACGACGGCAAACAACGGCAAACGACGGCAAACGACGGGGAATGACGGCGAACGACGGTAAACAACGACAAACAACGGCAAACAACGGCACACGACTATGACAAAAGGAGAAGAAATGGGCCATCGTAATTGCTACGTCGTCAGCGTAGAGCTGCCTATGGACGTGCAGTTGATGACAATGGTAAAGGTCATAAGCGAATCATCAACATAGGGCTGCCTACGGATGTACAATCGACCAGAAGCAGCCATCCACCATTCAATCCACATACAACTATACACAGCACACAATGGACTTGAACCACATTTGAAAGATGATATCCCATGGCGGAACAAGGAATGGAACTCTGCTAAGAAAGAAGGAAAAGTGGATATGAATTCAATTTTGGAGTAGAAAATGCAGAAATGTTTGGCGAAACAAAAATGGTTTTGCCTTTACAAATTAATCATCAGGATGAAATGATGGGAATGATCTTTGCACCACAGTAAATTCAAATTGGGAAAATAAAAATAAAAAGAAATGGTAGATAGCTTGGACTGCAACTGCCAGTTCACACTGCGTCTGTGATCGCCAAGATGGTTTTCAACTTTTCACCATTTCAAACCCACAGTTAATCACAGGGGTAGATTTATAGACTAACCTGTGTCAACTGTGGTTAATCTGTCTCCTGCTGCCAATACGTCAGATTCAATGAAGGTGATCTTCCCAGGAATATAAATGTCAAACAAATGTACCTGGGTGATTACGCAAACAGACATGACCACCACTTCTGTATGAACCAGGCTGCAAACCTCTCTCTTCATTTGCATCCCCTCCCACCTTGCAACGCCCCCCCCCCCCCCCCCCCCCCCCCCCCCCCTCTCTCTCTCTCTCTCTCTCTCTCTCTCTCTTCCT